CCCCCCCCCCCCGCCCCCGGCCTTCTCTTCAGGGCATGCTCCCAGCATACTCACCTGCCATGGTGGGCCTTTAGGGTGGACACTGCATCATTGTCAGTACTGAGTTTCTCACACCGGGTCCTCAGAGGCCACACTCTCGGACCTGGGGCCTCCGGTTTTCAGTGTGGTGCCCTGGCTGCCGCTCTTGTTGTCTGATGGTTTCCTGAGACTCCTGCCTGGGCAGTGCCTCAGATATGGCTCATTCCCTCTCTGTCCCCCTTAGGAGCCCAGAGAAACCATTTGGAAAATTAAATCTGTTCAGACCCCGGGGCTCTGGGGAGCCACCTCAGAAAGGAAGGGAGAGTTGAGAATAGGAGGGAGGGAGAGAAGGCAAGAGAGTTCTTCAGCACTGTGGACAGCTCCGGTCACGCTCGGGCACCCAGGACAGGGAGTCTGGAGAAGTCCCAGAACCCAGCATCACCAAGCATCCACAAGTGCACAATTCATTCTACTCACAGAGGCACTGTTATTACTTTCATTTTAAAGTAATTACTTTCATTTTAAGTCCGGCCCAGAGAGTTTGGTCATTTGATAGGCTGCAGAACCAGTAAGCAGCATGGCCGACTGGTTGCAGCTTCAGGCTCCTGCTTATCACACCATGCTGGTTGGTCATGAATGAGACGGCTTTTCTACCCTCCTTTTGGTGTGGATAAGACCTCAGTCCAGTGGGCTTACCCACCGCCCTCCTCCACCCGCTCCCTCTTACCTGGGCAGCCAGCTTTTCTTGAGGGCCCCGTGTCTGCTAAGGGCTGGCGTCATGCCCCACCTCACCCCTTAGGCAACCTTGTCAAGTGGAAAGATGTTTGTTTCCTTTGTCACCTTACCCATTCAACTGGAACTTACGAAGCACTCAGTTCTCGGTTCTGCCATGGAGTGAGTCAAAGTCACTCCCCCACCCCCAATTAACCCCCCAGTTCCTGCCGTTTTCCCCAAACTCATATGTCTCATAGGTATCACCCTAGGTAACTGAGCCCCCATCATCATATAGAAAGAACAAAGGTTTCCACTCTTCACAGACTTTTTCTGTCAGGGATGGGGAGGGGCACAAGAGTCAGCAGATAATGAAGTAGGCAGATGTCATTTTGCTGCTGAAAAGTGACAGGTGTTGTAGAATGAGTCAAAGAACATCAACTACCATATATGCAACTCAGCACCAAAGTTTTCTGTTACAATGCAGTCTTTAGCGTGATTTTAACAGTCAAGAAAGAGAAGATATATCGTAAGCTCATTTGGGCTGTGTTTTTTTTTATGTAGCCCCAATCGTACTCTGGGAGGGCTCCAGAGCCCCTGTTGGTGTGGCAGACATGGGCCCCTTGGCTCTCCTTCCCATTCTCTCACCCCTCAGCAGGCTGGCGAAGCTCAGGGGGAGGAGCAAGGGTGGGAAGCTGGGACTGCACATTCACTGCAGGGCCTAACCCAGAAACTCCCGGCATCCTTTGTCACGGCCTCTGGCTAGTTTCAGTCAAGAGGAGAAGCTCACAGACAACCAGAGGACAGAGAGGGAGACACTGGGAAATCCACCCCCCCATTCTTCAGATGTGTTTTGAACTCATTACACTCTTCTTTCTATTTCTGTGTGTATTTGAAAGTTTTCATAATTTAAAGTTATAATGTCAACAAATAATGTAGTGATATGAATTTTACCATACATTCCTCAGCACCAACAGTTTAGTTTTTTTTCTTACACAGCACTTTAAAAAATCCTGAATTGTATTTTTCTTTTCTTTTTCCTCTCTCTCTCTCTCTCTCTCTCTCTCTCTCTCTCTCTCTCTCT